CAGGCTACCCAAGCACAGAGAAGTCCTGGGTTGCTGCTAGACCCTGAGTCAGCACTGGTCTTCAGCTCTACCCACTCAGCCCTCCTGCCTCCTCTCATCTCACTCCTCCAGGGCATGGAACCAGTATGGTGGTGGTGGAAAAAGGGTTATTTTCTTTTATGTCTAATGGAAATGCCTACCTAGTACTTTATCTCATCAGATCAGCTCTCTGAGGGGAAGCACTTGTACTGCGCTGCTTCTGATGAAACAGCGCTGAGGGAGATTGAGACAAACTGCGTAGAAATGCCCCCCAACACCTCTCAGACTCAAACCACATCAGGCACAGCACCCAACCCCACCTTGGAGCAGGAGCCCCTCCACGCCGTACAGCCGCAGAGTCCCTCTTCCCCCTTACCTCACATTGCAGAATCCACAGCCAGCTCCATCCAGTGCCTGCAGTTGCTCCACTCCAGCCCAGAGCGTCCCCTTCTGCTCCAAGGGGTTCATGGCAGAAAAGCTGGGAACACTCCGGTCGAAGTGCCTGTGCTGGGGCACAGCCCTGCACGTGCCTGTTTAGTCACTTGGGCCCTTACATGTCAGGCAGCTGCCTGAGGGAGAGCCAGTGCTCAGAGGTGCAGAGAGGGAGCACAAATCATCAGGTAAAAGCATCAAGAGTGATTTCTCAGGTGGCTTCCTTTCCTGTAAACACTCTTTGATCCCTATGTGACTGCTGGTTAGTACAGTCTCACTCGCTCTCATGCGAGACTTAAAGTTCACATTTTGGTTTACGACCACAGAATACCTTTGTGACTGCAGTCCTGAAGGTCTTGCTGTCCAAAGGCCTGCAAATAGGGTGATATGGAGCTGCACAGTAGCCAAGTCATGGGGGCACAGCTTTCACCATTTTTGCAGCCAGGCAGCACAGACAGGACTTGAGATTTTAAGAGCCAAGGTGCACCAATCCCTCTGCAGACCAGGTATCAGTGACACAAGAGAGAAACAGAACATTTCTTTTTGGATAGGATTTTGCCGCCTTCACAATTTTCCAGCCTCTGTATCACCAGCTGTCCCAAAGAACCACCAGAGACATCATTCCAAGCAATTACGCAGAAAATGTGGTAACCACACAGCACACCACCAGCTCCTGGGTCAGACAAAAGGTCCCCACAGCCTCTGTCCACCCTCTAGCACTATCCAGAAACAGATGTTTGGTGGATTGAATCCAAGCCTCCTTTTGATGCACTTTCTCAGTAACCAGAGATGAATTAGCACAAAGCCAGACCAGTTTCAAACACACACAGCAAAATCCAAGTCCATAAAACGCCCTAGGCCTGAACAGGAACATTAAGCCACAGAATCTAAAGCACAAAAGTAAGAGAGCAAACAGCCTTACCTGCCAGCCAGCACAGCATAGCACAGCACAATTAAACTAACCCCTGCTTCCTTTACCCCGCTTTAAGTAATTTGTCCAATTAGGACAATTAACTTTTTCTGTGCCTTGGTCTCCACACAGGTGTGAAGGATTCCACAAACCAGAATCTCTCAGGCTAACTAACCACCAGGTGTATCAGTTTTCACCCAGATTAGCTTGTTTTCCACCACTGAGTCTCGGGCCTTTCTCTATTAAGTGTAAAACCTTTCTATATTTTTCCCCAAGAATGGTAGTTTTTAACACTTCAACACTAAGCTGCATTGTCACTACAAGGCAAATACTGCAAAAGTTGGCTAAGGAGTAGGAGAGACGAAAGTCACCCACTTCTGCCTTTGGTCTCTGCTCCTCTGTCTATTCCAGCTCAAAGACTTTCCTGCTACCTACCACGGGTGAGCCACAAGGAGTTGCCCAGAAAAATCCTTCCATGGGGTCACTCCATCCCAGAAAGTGGTTTTGTATCATACAAATTCAAATTTCCTGAATACTTTACCTCTTCCCCCCAGCAGCATAGGGACAAAGGGAATGGGTGTTGTGCTCAGTTCATCAAACATTGTCTCTGCTGCTTCTTTGTCCTCAGGAGTTGAACTCCTCACAGGCTTCCCCTGCTCCAGCATGAGGTCCCTCCCATGGGAGACAGTCCTCCACAAGTTTCTCTAACACGAATCCTTCCCATAGGCTGCAGTTCTTCACAAACTGCTCCAGCACTGGCCCCTTCCCCAGGGTGTAGTCCTTCCGTCCTGCTCTGACAGGGTCACAAATCCTGCCAGCAAACCAGTTCCAGCAGGAGCTCCTCTCTCCACAGGTTTACTGTCCTACCAGAAGCTTGCTCCAGTGAAGGTGACTCCTACTGCGTCACAGCTTCCTTTGGGCTTCCACCTGCCCCAGCACAGAGTCCTCAGTGAGCTGCAGGTGAGTGTCTGCTCCCTCCTGGACCTCCACAAGTTGCAGGGGAACAGTCTGAGTCACCATGGTCTGCACTCTGCTCCAGCACCTGGAGCACCTCCTCCCCTCCCTTCTTCACCAAGTTTGGTGCCTGCAGAGCTGTGTTTCTCACATAACCTCACTCCTGTCTTCTTCTGCTGCCAGGGTGCAGGTTTTTCCCCTTCTGAAATGCATTATCCCAGAGGCAATACAGTGTCACTACTGGGCTCAGCTTTGGCCAGCAGTGGGTCCATCTGGGAGTCAGCTGGCATCGGCTATATCGGAGATAAGGGAAGCTTCTGGCATCTTCTCACAGCAACTACCCCTGTAACCTCCCCGCTACCAAAACCTTACTATGTAAACCCAATACACTCTTCTCACTTCTTTCCACTTTGCCCAGCAAGTCCTGCTTACCCAAATAATACAGTCCTTTCCAAGCCTAAGAAAATTCTGTTACAAATGTCTGACTTTGTTCAAGACCTTTTGCATGCTGAGCCACGAAGACAGTCGTGTACCATCTCTTGATAAGGATGTCTCAGTTAAATGGGTTACCAATGGCAGAGGAAGAACAATGGAAGGCTGCAAAGTATACCCAGATATCAAAGGATTCCCTTCTGTACACTCAGGCCCTTTGCTTTCACGTAAAAACTGAGCGCTTTGCTGATGAGCCAACCTAAAACTTTCAATTTGATACACTTCATCTCACAATCAGCCCACAATGGTCCCAAGAGAACCATGTGACAAATCTTCAAAAGAACTGGGAAAGCTCCAGTCCCAAAGAGATTCAATATCACCTTGTTTGTCTGAAGCTCTTCAGGGATACAGCTGGAGGTGACACTTCTGTGCCTAGTTGGTGAATAGTCTCATTAACACAATACTGGCAATAGCCACCTCTAACATTTTTTAACTTATTAGGATCTTAATCTACTTTTGAGTCTCCTGGGGATTTTACTTTTAAGATTACTCTGAATTCAGCTTCCCGCTTAACATTCTAAAGCAATCCAGGTATGATTTTGCCAGAACCCACTTTGATATGGTTATACCTGATACCAGCATCCAGAAGTCACATATCAACAAGTCTGCAGATCTGCTTGTGTAAAGCAGGGTGTTAATTTCAATTGTGCCCTTTAAACTTCCCTGCCATAGCCTTCAAGACCTCCATATATTTGATCACAGTTCATAAGCTGTCCTGACTTAAGACCCTTCCCTGCAGAGCTGTTTCCTGAGAGTGCTCATCCAGCCATGGCTGGGAGGCGCAGGATGCACAGCAAAGCAGACTGTCTGTCAGGCTACAGACCTGACATCCCTGCTCCCCCTCACCAAAGCCCTTTGAAGCTCCTAAGACCCTATGAGGAAATTAAGGTGGAACAGCCGTGGATCAAGACCACTGTCAGAAGCACACAAACCCCCCCAGATGTCCTGTCCCTGTTCTCAGTAACCTCCACTTCCTGCCCAAGGTGGCTTGATTTCCTGTAGCTCTTTCCACAAAATAAAGAAGAAACATTTTCTGTTTGTATCTGATGTTCTAATTAGCCCCGAGCTGTTTATCACAGTTGCTGCTGATCTGCTCCCTTCCAGGTGGCAGAGAGGCGTCACGGGGGACAGCCCACCACAAGCACCTACGGGTGGAACAAGCCTGTCACCCCAAAGGTGTCTGGAATGGGGGGGGAGCTGTTCATCCCCTCCTGCACATCCTCTCCTCCTCCCTGGATGCTGGAGGAGGGTTTCCCTGCATGAGAATATCACCCTGAGTGCAGCTACAGTGCACAGAGAAAGGACAATTCTGGCTTGGGGCTGGGCTGGCACCTGGTGTCGAGTCACAGGATAAGAAGGTGGAAAGGTTCTCTGGAGGGTTCCTGTCCAGTCTCCTGCACCAGGCAGAGCTAACAAGTAGAGCAGGGTGCTGGCACGTGTCAGCCCACCCTGTAGTTCCCAGTCACTGAGTTCCTGGCCCATGAGGAACCCAACCTCTTCCAAAGAATGTCTTCCTGAGCTCAGGACTCACAAAGGGAGGCTGCAAGCTCTGGAGAGAACATGCAGCCTTGCAAAGGCCTCATCCAGCAGCCACAAACCATGACCTCTGTGTCCCAGCCACGGGGAAGCCTCATTTCTGGGATTAAGATAAACCCACGACAAGCCTGCCAGCCAGCCAGGCACCAGTACTATCCCTCTTCAGGCTCCCAGGGACTCACAAACCACCCAAGGCTAAACCCAGCAAATTCAGGGAAGAAGGTCTTGTCACAGTTTAGATCAGCAGTGCTTGCTGCCCCCGCCACCACCAAGCATCGAGGAAACTCTGAGCATCACCTCCCCCACAGCTGGGAGGGCAGCACAGGTGGTCAACACGGCCCTGCAGGAGACATGGGACAGGAGATTACACTGACCTGCAGCACCATGGAGAGAACCCAGTCCGTGGGTGCCAGACAGCACCGCTGGATACCCTCAGCACCATCCCAAGCATTCCCCTGGTCACAGGGAATAGGCACTGCTGCGGGATCGAGCGAGCACCTTTCTCAACAGTGGAATGGAAGGAGCTTTCAAAAGGTTCTCAGGTCAGCACAGGCCATGGTGGTGCCAGAGCTCTTGGGCCAGGGAAGGCTCCACCATCCTTCATGGAAGGACAGACCCAGTCTACCCCCAAGCCCTCACCAGCACAGCTGTGACTCACCCGTCCCAGTGGAAGAGTCATCTGCAGAACGCAAGTGTTTATGATTCACTTGTGGGCCTCGCTGTCTCCAGGCTGTTTTGGAACACTGCTCTCTCACAATGTGCACTGCCCAGGCAGGTGGGGGTGCTGATGTCACAAACCACAAGTTCTCCTGGCAGCACTGTGTGGCAGAGCCAAGGAACACAGGCAGGACACCAGCTTATCTGAGGGTTAGTGGTGCATGTGCCAGGGAGCTGAATCCTGGAGCTGCCCTACCTACAGCCAGGACCTGTCGTGCAGCTTTCCTTGTGTCACCAAAGAACATGTTGCTGGACCTGTGGCTTCACTGAGCATGGAGACCCCTGCCATTGGCCGTCCAAATCCTAATTCTCTCCAAAGTCCCTGGCTCCAACCCCTTGTTTCAGCTTCCTCCTTTACTGCAGGGTTAATGTGTGTGGCCACACCTTTGCTCTGCTTCCCTTCAGGTGAAAATGTACCCACACCATCATAAACTGCACACTGAGAGTCAGTTCAGACCAGGGTCCCCAAAATACCAGGCTCTGAGACAAAGGACACCATATCTGTGAATTTAATGTCCTTATGAAGTGAAAGGATGCACTCTTTGCTCATCCAGAGTTTGAAGTGCTCTAATATAGCTCCACCCTTCAGTCAGCCCTCATACTCATCCTTACCCAGCTCCAGTCTCAAGCAAGGCATTCAGGGCATTTCCCACTCCCCAGCACTTACTGTGGCACCTCTGTGTCCTAACCTCCCTCCCAAACACATTTCCTGGCTGCTCACCAAGTCACTTGTCTGCCAGGTCCAGAAATCCTGCAGACACTGCCAGACTTCGTGGGGAGGGCAGGGAATGAGTCCTAGGGGGATCATAGTGTGAGCCTGTGGCAGAAGAGCAAGCCTTTGGGGTGACAGAGACTTCTCTGTGGCAGCAAGAGTGTATTGGTAGCTGGAGGCAAGGTCAGGCTGCGAGGACCAAGCACTGCAGAGAAACCTGTTTTACCTCTCTTTTATCCTCCCTCCTTGCTCTGAGTTGTCTCTCACTAAAAAGAGGCATTTCTTAGTTTCTATTCAGGCTTTCCTTTCCAGCCACTAGCCGGTCAATTTAATTTTTAACAGACTTCAGACCATCCTTCCCCAAACACACACGCAAGGACTGGGGGCAGTGTATCTCCAGCAGCTCAGGTAGCTCCAGCCAGACCCACAAAACAAATAGATGTTCCCCACGGGAGTCCTCCAGCCCTTCAGGTTTTAAGCTTGATATTAGGGAACTAGCTAACATTGAAAATAAAAGCATTACATCAACTACAATACGATTACATTCGGTTTCCTTACAAATGTAAACACAACACATTTCAAGGGTGCTGCCTAAAGTGCTGGCAGCTTTACCTGCTCCCTGGCTGGCTGGAGGTTGTATTACGTGTGGGCTTGCTCAATTTAAGGGGTAAAAATACCTGCCTACAGACACAGATATTACTTATTAATTATTAATGACCTCCACTTCCCACACATCTCTAACACACAGCTGTTTCTAATGCCTCGTTGCTCGCTGTCCCTGCACAGCTAGAGGAGCTGGAAATGGGGGCACAAAGGGAAAAAACAAGGGTGGAGATGTGTGGAAAGTGTTGCTTTGTCTTTGTTTCTCACCATCCAAACCTCCTTCAACTGGCAATAAATTAGTTTCCTTAAACTGAGTCCGTTTTGGCGGTGAGGGTACATCATCTACCTGTATTTCTTCAACCGTGAGCCTTTCCAACTTATTTTCTCCTCTCTGTGCTGTTGAGGAGGGGGAGTGAGAGTGGCTGGGTGGCCACTGGGGAGCTTGTTGGGGTCAGCCCACCACAGGTACCCAGTATTATTTAAATTTCAAGCACTGAAATGTGCGTATATATCCAGCAAGTATCACTTCTATAGCATATTCCAGGTAAGAGCCTGAGTACCTCACACATGGCTCAGCCTTACTTGCCCCAGAGAGGCACATAAGCCACTGGCCCTGTTCAGCACACAGGGGTGCTGAGAGGGGAAAAAAGCATTTCTGTCTGCATGTCTGGCAAGAATATGTTTACAGTCCTGGCAGGGACTTTAGAGACCACACAGTAGCATGGAAAAGGAGGAATTCCTGGCAGACTTACTACCCAGCTGACCCAGCAGCTCCCTGCAAGGCTGAGGGTTTCCTGGGAGTCGGCATGGAGTTTCTCTGCCTACCTGCTGCCTTTGACGGCAACAAGAGATACTTCAAGTTCGCATTTTTGTGTTCAACGTGCTCTTCAAGACCACAGGAAATAGCACAACACTTTTAAAAAGTAGGTCTGGGCGGGAGGTTGGGGGGGGGAATAGCATTTTTTTTCCTCTTTTCCTTTTTTTTTTTTCCACGGAGGAAATCGGAAGAAAAAAATGTGATTAAAAAGCAGTCAGAGTGAATTTCCAAACCAATTGTGTGATGCATTCTGTTAATAGGTGATTCAATGGTTCTGCAAGAGGGTTTTCACACCCTAAAAGCAAAAGCAAAGCGTTCATCAGTGGTAACAGACTTGTAGAGGGTACAAACCACTAGAAAACAGTTTCAGAAAACAAAAGAGAGCAATTTGGTCACCAAAAAAGGTCAAAATTCCAAAGAAGGCTATACAAAGAAACAACACTTGCTAAGTGAAGTTCCTAGAGAGTCAATCCTTTAAGACAATGAACATGAATTTCTTTTCTCTAAACCATCTCCTTCTTTCATATAACATTTTTTTCTCTCTCCAGAGGGCTCGATGTGCTGATTGGACCTGGCCGTGGGCTGGTGGAGAGGAGAGGCTCATCACTGACACCATTTCCATACCCACTTTCGATGCTGGTCATAACCCCACCACGAGCACTGCGTGAAATCAGCAGGTTTTCCTTTGGTGTCCTATAAGGCTGGGTGCTAGGCAGGGTTTACAGGCAATGACCTGAAACACAGAGAAACGAAAGCGCTGCTTAACCAAGGGCCAATTTTAGGCTTTTTTTTTTTTTTTTTCAAAGAATTCAGTGGGGCTTTTATGGCTGCTGGTATGCTCTGCATTCAGCTCCAACACTCCCAAACAGCAATCTGGAACATGGCAGCCTAGAAGCTGTCTGCTACCATATTCCCATATTCTTTTACTTCACCCCCTCAGTGTATCCTCCAGTCTCCTTCAAGCAACAGGGCTGGATTTTTGCTTACTTTGCATGAAGACAAACGATGGCAGTGGGGAGAACAATTTTGGCTGAAGTGCTGGTGAGCACTTTCAGGGTAGGGTCCCACAGGAGAGAGGAATCAGTACTTGGAGGCAGAAGCTCCCCATACCCAGTGTCACCCACAGCCACTGTAAAGAGCCTGGTGCCAGCAGGGAGCCGTGCAGTTGGTGCTCTGCTCCTTTCCAGGGGTCCTGTGCACAGCACTGGTACTTCTCTTGTAGCACTGCAATCCTACCAGCTCTGAAACATGTTTAATCTGAGGCTTGGAGGGCTTTAGGTACAGTGACTATGAGGATGCATAGACTGGCAGATGGGTTACACCATGTCTTGGCACTAAACATCCCCCTGTGCAGAATAAAATGTGTATGGTGATAAAATAAACACTTCAAGGCAGGGAGACAGTACCTAAGGATGGTTCAAACTGAACTAAGAAACTACCATCCCCTTCCATCCATCAACAGCCTTACCTGAGTCACATCCTCCAGCCCAGCAAGCAGGGTTTCCACAGATTGTGAGAAGTTTTGAGCAAAATGTTTTCTGATCTTCCATGGTTTGGACTTCTCTTTCAGGACTTTAATGAAAGCTAAATCTTGGATACCTGTTCTCCATGCAGAAACCTTATTAGGAGACACAAACGTTCCTCTCTGATGCCTTTTTGTTTGAAATCTTTTGCCTCTGTGTTGGCATAAACCTCACATTAGTGAGGAGAGAGAGAAACATCAGGAGAAAGCATATCCCCAGCATGAGGCTCAGGAGGGCACACAGTCCAGTTTTGACAGTTATTCAGATGGCTCAAAAGGCCACCTACTCCCCTGCCAGTGCAGCTTTCCAAGCTGAAGGTCCCAGGGAATTAGCTGACCAGCTGTCTTTCACTCCCCAAGAATGATCTGACAAAGGGGGACTGAAGGAGTCACTCAACAGCAGAAGAAAAATGGACAGGAGACTTTTTCAATTATTGTTGAAGGAAACTGGTTATGAAACATGGGGGAAAGAGAGAGAGATGTGAAATCTCTATGATGGTTTGTAAGGGGGGGAGAGAGATGAGTAATAGTGAGCATGCTGAGGAATGGGGAAGCAACTGAGACAGAGGAAAGCACATTGGGTTTTGTTATTCCAGCTAGAGTTTTAGTCTCTTTGCTACCCAGAGGAACGAGTAGCTGATTTTCAAAACAAGTGAGTCCTCACAACAGAAACCTGTGTGCCTGTTCATGTGCCTGCTGATGTCTTGGCAGGGGTAACCAGCCAGGCCAGCGCCCACCAGTATGATCCTAAAGCAGCACTGCTGGTCTCACCACAGGCAGGGGCTGGGGAGCTCAGCATGTCTTCACAGCTCTGCCTGGCAGGAGACACCACTGCCGTCACTGCCAGCCAACTCCTCCACCCCAAAGTCCCACATCTCCTGTAACAGGTTATGTGCAAGGAATGGAACATTTGACTTTCTGCATTACACCAAGAGATGAATCAGCAACAAGTTGTCAAGCTTTTCATCTTCTTTTTTTTTTTAATAATTAAAATCAACAAGAAATTCACATGCAACTTGCCTCACTTTGCAGCAAAATTTCTTCTCTCTTTACTCATTTCATGCTCTCTTTTGTGTTGAACCTCACTTAGGTGCCTAAAATTACACTTTTGTAATCATGATGTAATATAGCCATGCCAGACCACTAGGAGAATAATAACAATATCTAAGTCTATATCTCTTCCTTTTTCTCCTCTCTCTAACCACTAGACAATGCTCCTGGTAAAAATTTGCCAGAGTCTCTACAGCTCCTTGAGCTGGAAGACGTGAGTCCACAAGACATTGTAACAGAAACTTAGAGAGCCTAAGTCTGGCTTCAGGTAAATGAAGGAGGTAAAAAAAAAAAAGGAAAACAATAATCAACCTGCAAAAAACCACTATAATTTGTCAGATCAAACAGAACGTTACTGCCTGAACTCACAGAATTTGAGTGTCTTCAGATATATCAATTCTTCCATTCTTACTCATATTCTTCTCCCTGGAAGGGCTACAGAAACAGTTATACATAACACCTCTCACCAGTGACAGTTCCAGCTAACCATCTAAGCTCTGAGGTTTCTGAGCCAAGAGCTGGAGATCAGCAACTGCTCCTTTTGCTTTACCTTCACTGTGCATCAGTCACCTCCCTCCCCATCATGAGTAACCACAGACTGGTAAAGAGTCAGGATGCATGGATGAGGGATGCTGGTCATAGCTGTCCAGGGAATATTTCTCCTCTCTGACCAGGATTTTGTTTGCTTCCACTGCACTCCTGCTGTAGAAGCAGCAATGGCCCAACCCATACAGTCCTTTCTGTAATGCAGCCCCTTCTCTCATCTTGTTTACTGCACACACTGAGCCTGCACGAGGTTTTCAAGACACTGGCATCCTGCTCTCCCTTTTCCTCCACCAAGGCAGGCAAACAGGGTGCAGCATCTGATAGACATCAACCACAAAAGGAGCCATATCTTTATCAAGCACCTCACTGTGCTCGGCCGCATAGCAGCACAAATGCTTGCTGTGCAGAGCCCTGAGTTAGCCAGCTGCACCTCCAAACACACAGCCATCACCTGGGAAGGGTTCAGCTGCCCACAAGAGCTGTTTGTGAACACCTTGCACTATCCCAGGTTGCTCCAAGCCCCATCCAACCTGGCCTTGAATACTTTCAGGGATGGGACAGCCACAGCTTCTCTGGGCAATGTGTGCCAGTGCCTCACCAACCTCATAGTAAAGAATTTCTTCCTAATATCCAATCTAACCCTGCCCCCTATCAGTGTAAAGTCATTTCCTCTTGTTCTTTCATGCCATGCCCTTGTCACAAAGTCCCTCTTCAGCTCTCTAGGAGCCCCTTTAGGCACTGGAATGGGCTCTAAGGTCCCCCTGTAGCCTTCTGTTCTCCAGGCTGAATAACCCCAATTCTCTCAGCTTGACAGAGCCTAATGTCAGCATTAAATATTCATTAAATATTTAATGGTAACAATAGGCACTCATTTCACTAAATGAACAGCTCATTAGCTAGATAAACAGATGACTTTAATAAAGCCCTTGTGGCAAAAGCAGCCTAGGAACTGACTCTGTGCTGTTTGAAATTGCATAATCCTGTCACGATCTTACTTGGAATCTTTAGCCAGAGCCCACAAGCTAAGCAGTGGATTTGCTGTGAGCAGTTTAGAGGGATATTTGAGGAAGGGATCACAAAGCAGAAGCACGTCTTACTGGCATCTGTGCTGCTGACTTCGCACAGTCACAGCTGCTCTCTGATTCGGGAGCAAACCTAGCAGCACTGAGCTTTATCCTGCAGGGATAAGCCAGCTCTGTCCACCTCAGGAGACCCCAGCACTACTCACATGTAACAAGGCTGTCCACTCCACTGTGCCACTGTTTCTGAAACGTGCAGGTCTCCATTGCCTTTAACATTTCAGATAAAAAGACAAAGATGCCTGTCCTCTCATGACGTGCAGCAATAGCAACTGCTGCATCCTGCCCCAGAGGCAGCTACAGTCACAGTCTGGATGAATTACCAGGTGCTGACTGAGAGAAGCCTTTAGGAGCTTTCCAACCCTTCCAACACCACACTAGCAGAGAGCATAACCTCAGTAAGACTTCCTCTGTGCACAGAATATTCTGCCTTTCTCCAAGCTGTTGGAAGCATGTGATGTGCTCGGCTAGTTTTGCTACAGAAACAGCTGAAAAGCTTGCAGGCAGGAGTACATACAGATTCCCACTCCCCATTTGGATGTCTCACCACTAGGAGAGCAACACAGCTCAAACAGCAATGGGAAGAGGATGGCAGGGTCTGGATCCAGCATCTCTATATCTGCACTATGTGTTTTGCCCCTCTGATATTAGTGGGGTGGGGTAGTAAAAAAGAGTCAGTCAAGACAGAAGGTCCCTAAACTTCATCTGTTTGATGTATGTTCCATCCTGAGAAATGCAGTGGAACCATCTGAGTGCAGCAACGGGTGTGTGAGCAGAGGTGCAGTGTTCCCTTCATACTGGACACACCAGTAGCCAGATCACTGACAAATTTCCAAGAAACAGGCTTACCTGAAGCAAGAAACAGCAAACCACAGGCCACACACCACCAAGCTGAGAGCAGCACGGAGGAAAAGTAAATAAATGCTGCAGACTGCTGAAGAGCAGACCAACATCAGAGCTGCAAGAAGGCACAACCACAGGCAAAAGTGATGATGCAACACAGCTGCAGCCTTTGGGTCCTGCCTGGTGGTAGCGTGACAGACAACTCTGGGGATAGAACTGCACCGACCAGACGCCAGAGTGAACAAATAGGCTTTTTCTTTTTACACCACTTCCTTTCCTTGTCCTTCAGACTGCCCTGTGAGAAGTCACATAGAGGACCATGGTGTCTTTGGGGACAGCAGTGCTTCTGCTCAGCAGAAAGTGTCTGGCTCCACTCAAGCTCAAGCCTGTGTTTTAAAATCAGGCCCTGCCTGATGGTCCAAGTGGGCTTGGGCTGTCTGGTCTGTGCTGCCCACATCACACCTCCCCAAACCCCAAATACTGATGTTTGCATACTGGAGCCCCAAAGCTCCATGGAAGGGATCCTGTGCAGTGCCAAGCAGGCAGTGAAGTGGGATAAGGCTCCCAGATTTCTGCCATGCTGCTGGAGAAGGAACAAGGTGCTGGACCCTGATCACAGAGGCCTTCAGTGTTTTGGCCATTGCAGAAACCTGTTGCACCAAATGAGGAGAGGACAGTGTCACTTACTAGAAAAATATATCTTTTATTTACCATCTGTGTTTTGCTCAGGAGACAACATCTCATGACAAGGGGGCCAGCTGAAGCCATGCCATGGATAGATGCTAGCATGTTGCTACATGCATCATGAAAGGGGTGGAAGACCACAGAGGATCCTTGCATACTGAAAGGGCAGGAGGGGGGTTGGAAGTGCTGCTTTCACCTTAAGCCTCACTGCCCTGCTGTTCAGATCCTGTCAGCACGTGGCCTCCCCACCAGCCCCACCCCCAAAGTGTGGTCATGGTTCCACTCCAGGGTCAGAACTCCCCTCATGCCACCATTGCTTCTAGCATGTTCCTTGCAAGACAGTTGGGATGAGTTAAATAAAGGGGTTGAGGAGCATTTTCTGGGATGGGAACAGTTCAGTAACTAAACACAAAATGAACATACCAGCTGTAACAGCCCAGCTTGCAGGCAGGTGCCTGTCGGACAGCAAGCACAGAGCCCCGTGCCCAGGCAGGGTGGGCAGCCATGGCCCGGGGTGAGCAGTTGCTGGCACTACTCATTCCCACACCACTCCCTGCAGTGTGGAACAACCCAGGCACTTGCAGTCCTGGCTCAAGGGACCTCCATAATGCCCACCAGCTGTCTCTGCTGGCCCAAGCTCACTAGGGCCATGACACCATGCGAGGCGCAGGCCCCAGCCTCTTCTCAGGTAGCAAGTAGTGAGTTTCAATGGGGTCTTCAGCACATCACATTTTGAGTTTGTTGGGGGTTTTTTTGTAAGGAGAACATGTCCTGTTCTCTTCAGGTTGACACAATACAGCTCTGGTGCTTCCCAGGTGTCTGCTTTCAAGCCTTTGCCAGTGGCTTGAGCTCTTTCACACTGAAGGCCAAAACATGGTTTCTTGGTGAGTTTTGTGGTGTGTGACCCTGGTTTGGCCACTGCACTCAGGCAGCCCTCACACCCTAGGGTGTGTGTGAGGGGGGGCTGCTGGCCACACTCCATTTCAAAGCTTAAACAAGCCGAAGAAAGTCTTGGATTCCTCAAAATTAACCAGAGCGATTTTGGAGACGTTGACATGCACACTGTCCATCTTCCTGAGACTGAATAGAGCCCCCAGGCTGCTTTTCCGGGCCCACGTCCTGTGACCCGTGCAGTAGTTGATGCCTTTGTCCTCCATCAGCACGTAGCTGCCCGGGGAGCTCGGGTTTCTCTTGTAGACAATGTGTGTGAGCACCTGGTTGTCGCAGACATTGCCCCGGAACAGCACGTTGGAGTACACGAAGTACAGCCCGGTCTCATTGATGACAAGCCCCCGGTCACGGTACTGAATGTGACTGGTGTAGGCATGGCCAGAGATGGGCTCCCACTCTAGAGGGAGGCCCTGCTGGGATGGGCTCCCTGGAAGGCGAATCAAGAAGGAAAAGAAAGGGGTGGTAAAGTACAACAGTTGTGTGGGTTTTTTTCCCCTCAAGTCACACCCCACGTCACAAGTCTACCCTTCTCCAAGCCCTTGACTGCAGCCCACCCTGACCTGGCACCTCATCAACACCAGCCCCTTGTGACAGCTTCTGCCCCACACACCTCAGAGGCAAGCCAAAAACAGGCCTTGCTGAGAAGTCTGAATGCGGGGGAGGTTTTGTCTGTGGAGCAACTTTCCACCATCAGAGCACATCTTTTCCTAGGAAAATAGGAAGGCCTGTGTGAGGTGGGCTCCTCACAACTACAACCATGACACCCTCTCACCCCAATCACATCTGTTCTATTCCTGCTCCTGAATCCTGCTGGTCCCTCAGCACATACCTGTTAAGTGTGCTGCCTTCCTTTCTTCTTTTTTCATTGACTCCTTCTGCCCTGCACAAAAATAGAGAAGACATTAGCCATGTGCCCAGAGAGCAGGAGGGAGCCAGGCACAAAGCTGTCACTTGAGACCCTGCAAACCACCCCTCTGGCCAGGCAGACCCTGTCCTCAGGGAGGCAGAGCACAGCTGGGAAAACTCTGCCTTTCCTGGGAGCCTTGGCTTCCCTTGGACAGGTGGGCCAGTTACACCAACTCAGTATGTGGATCCCACCCACTTCATCCTTCCCTTCTTATCAGCATCTGCTTTTTGTCCTCTAATTTTAGAAGCAGCCTATTCTTTCCTCAAGCCAATTAAATTTTTCTATCCTCTCCCTTTTCTTCTTTACACTATTTCCCTGTTTCTATTTATTTATTCATCCCCTCAAGAAATTCAGCGTTACTACTTTTGTTTGGCTTCTGCTAAAGAAGCTTTTGATCACAGTATTGAGCATCCAGTTAGAATAGTTCCTCTTTCCCTAAAGTGGAAAATTTATTGATATGGGAGTTGATGGGAATCAGGACTGCCCTTTCCAGAGAACTTTGCTATTTCCAAATTTGTTTGCATTCAGTACCAGAACAAATTTGGAAAGAAATTAACTTTTCTACTAACCAAAATCCTCAAAGGGAGAAAATAAAATAAACCCTTTCAAATCTAGCAAAAATTGTCAAGGGAGCTAAAAAGTTCTTTAAGACTTGGCCATCATTAAGAAGGATACCCTCACTGACAACATTAACATGGAATGCAAATGAAAAAACAATAGTTTGGAAGTTCAAAATATGATTTTTGAATTGTTCCATTGAAATTGAAACTCCTTCTTTTTTCCTAAGTGAAATCTAGAAAGATTGTCAGGTTCTTGTGGAAAGTTTCAATTTCACTGAAATTACATTTCTAAGAGAAAAACTCTCTACATATAATCAAACATTTCTCAACTAGCTTTGTACCAAAAGAATGTAGGAAAAAATTAAGGTGTGCTTTCAAGGGTGGGAGTTAATTCCTCACTCCAAAGAAAACACACCCCTCTACTTCCTCCCAGAATCTTCTAAGAGTAAGGAGAGAAAGAAGTAACATGTGCAGTGCCCATCTCCTTTCTCCTCCTTCCACTCATGTTGTTGCTCTGTGTCAGGGCAGCCAGATTCTCCCTTTCACAGCAGAGTACTCTTAGTGCCATTGTCACACTGGGAATGGGAGGCCCCAGGATCTGTCACACTGTCCCAGAAACCTGTGGGTGACACCTCTGAGCAGTCCAGCGGGGAGGTTGCAGGACCACATACTCAGCCCTGAGATAAAGCTCTTTGTCCAGCCAAGCAAGAGAAATCAGCACTCTCAGAGCATCAAGCTGTGACCCCTGATGAGGAAAGAGTTTGACAGGAACACTCACACCTGCTAACACAGGAGTTCCTCCTCCAAGCACATCAACTCACCTATGAGTTTCTCCAGAGCTGGAGGGATGTGTTCAGCGCTGGCAGACTGTCAAAAGAGAAGAATGACACTGTCTTAGAATGAGAGCATAAGCAGCCAAAGACTGTCTTTGACAGTGGCAAATTCTGGGTGCTCACTGGGAGCTGTAAAGTCCTAAGAAATATATAGGGAGAGACCTCACAGCACTCAGGAACACGAACACATCCAGATACAGTCACCAGCCGAGCAGTCCCTCACAGTAATAAGCAACCTCACATACTCTGTCACAGCAGACACTGAAGTAGCACCATCCTGTCCCTTGGGGAGCTTTGTGCCACCTGAGCATTTCAGACACAATTTCAAGTTTCTCCTTTTCCCTCTTTCCCCAGGGACGTGTGACCAGCCAGGCAAACCTCACCTCTCTGAGTTCAGCCAGTTCCTTCTCCAGGTGAAAAATTCGAAACATGCTCAGCCCCATTCCAGCGAAGGCCAGCAGGAGCAGCAAGTAGATCACCAGGAAGTCGAAGCCCCTCCTTTCCCTGTTTTTCCCTGGCTTTTTCCTCCGGTCCGGTACTGGTGGTGGGAAAGGAGCAACAGGGGGTGCCGAGGGGCAGGAAGTACTTGCTTCAGCACAGCCATCCACCCAAAAAATCTGGGGGTACCCGTAGTTCAAGTTCTGCTGCATGGCCGGGAGCGGGATGGGCTGGACACGCTTGGTGTGGTCCTCCATATGGCAGCCAAAAACTGCCGGGGTTGTCCCAGCCTGAGCCCTGGGGGAGCACCCAGCTCTGCCTTTGTACGCCTGCATCCCTGCATCCGGTGAACACCCGGCTCAGATGCTGCGACTCTCTGAAAGCCTCAAGCACCGACAGCAAACCCCAAAGAGCTTCCGCCCTCGGCTGCAGGCTCGGGACACGAACCTGCTCCTCCCCCGCCAGGCAGCGGGACCAGCCCGCGGGGCTCGGGAGCCGAACGTGCTCCCGCAGCCACGGGCTGGAGGTACGAGGGCTGCGCTGCCAGTCCGGGGCTGAGTGATAGCTCATACCCACCACCAGCCACTCTTTCCAGCAGCCCACTCAGACAGAGGCAGCTGCTTTTCCGCTGAGGTGTCCTAGACCACAAGCAGTGCAAAGGGAACGACAGAACCTCTGGCAGAGGGCAGAGACAGAGCTGATGACTTCTGCCCTCAGCAGAAGGATGAGGAACCAATGCCAAGTGCAGCTGTCAGTGCTGGGGAGTCGCTTCATTTCACACAGGACAAATTCCTTACCACTGTCCATTTTGCATCCGATCTTTTCCTTGGTTGCTTCACAGGGCATGGATCATGAGTCACAGAACATGGTCACAGACACCATCCCACTGTAATAAAAACCAGTCAGAAAAGGAGGACACAGTGAGTGCTGCAGCCCAAACAGCCCCAGCATTACCAGCCCAAGCAGAGCTCGGTGGGCTGCCCTCACCCCCACTGATCCACTGGGGCACCAGCCAGGCTGAACCAGACGACTGCTATAATGTGGGGAACACACAGTGCCTTGGGGCACAAGCAGGCTCTTCTGACAGCTTCCGCTGCCCCTCATACCTTTGCAAATACTATCTCCAATCCCACAGCCCTCTTCTAACCTGAAGAAGCCTCACAGAGGGAAGGGCTTTTTCATCATCTCTCCAGGTCAGTGCTGAGCACTGCAGCAGGATCGAACCTGGCTGGGTATCTCGTGACTAAAGCCAGGGGCAGACACAGTGCCACTCATCTTAGTAGAATTTCTCTTGCCTTTCAAGAAATCATCCAGAATCCAGGCTATGCTGCAAGGACCAGCACTTATAAGAGCTCATTACAAAATCCTAATGAAGAGAGACAGGGACATTTCCATTCCTCATTGACCGCAGATTTCTGAGTGGTGACAATGAGATTTTCCTGAAGATTTACAGGTGCACAAAAGTGATTATAAACAGTTTGTTCTGGCATTTTACAGAAGTGTGTATTTGTATAGTAGTGTTAAAAAACTAAAATGTTTGATACAAGAACAAACTGGAGATTTGTGGTTGAAGGAAGCGATCCCAACACACAGGCTTTGATCTTGAACATCAAAACTGGGATCTGAGAAGAGCACACTTGAATAATGTATGTACACTTGTTTCTCCAAAACAAGGGCTCAGCTCTGCCTCCAACCACACCAATAAATCAAATGTGCTGTCAAAGCCATTCCTGCACCACCAGACACCCCGCTGCTTTTTGAAGATGTTCACCACAGCCCTTTGCTGCAGCAGTGATATGCAGCAAAAGAGGTTTCAACAACCCCAACTGGCTCTTCCTTGCACTTCTAGGTTTCTGACATAAAAGACACAACACGACATAAATCCAACTCCAACAGTTCAAGCTGGGTTATGCCTTCCCTCTCTCAGCCCCCCAGAGCAGCATTCCCCAGCCAGCCCAAGGACAGGTCCCCATCCACTCTCATGACCATTACAAGAGAGTGTCACACAGTGGCTTTGCCTGGAGAGGATCCATTCCCAAGTTTTTCCCTGACACCGTGTTTAATGCCAACATCTTATCCCAGTGGGATTGAGGGCACAGTAGCAGTCTCCCTTAAACATCAGAAGGGCTCTTATTTCTCACCCACTGCTTCCTATTTTCACAGAGATGCTTTTTTTAATTAGTGGGTGAGAGGGACAGACAATGAAATCAGCTAAAGCCATTTCAGCTGCATCTTTGCTTTTTAATGCTCCAGTCAAGAGCCTGCTGATACCACGTCATGGCCAGCCAATGATCACGGATATTTTACCATCAAAGGACTGTGTTTGGTGCACAACATTGTTTCAGGGACCTCTCCCTTCCTCACACACTGTACTGTGCTGGTGCTGCTGTCACACTGTTTTCCCTGTCACCAGCTTCAGATATCACCAAGATGACAGAGTCACAGAGCAGTTGGCATTGATTTAGACAAGGTTAAGCCCTCCTAAAATATGGGACAAGGACAGTTAGGTAGGAAAGGAGGGCATAAGAAGGACAAAAAGGGCATCAGATTTTTCCATCTATCCCTATCCCCCTCTTCAGCCAGTCTGCAAGATGCACACTCTGTTTCCAGTGTCATATTATTATTATGTCATTTGAAGAGAAAACAGTATTTTCAAAGGGAAACACCTTCCACAGGCTTTATCAGAGAATTGTTCCCCTTTGCCAAACCAACAAAAAACAAGACACAGACTGAAAAAGAGGATTTGCTCAGAAGAACACTCTCCATCTCCACTTCACCCCCAGATGAGACATGGGAGCTCTTACTAACAATACACACAATTGTGCTAAAGTTTATATTGACAGCAGAGAATCAGCCAGCAGCTACAAGTTTGTATCAGCAGATTTAGGGACAAAAGGATGACTTGCCTGAAAGAAAGCAGGACTGCCCAAAGAAAGCAGGACTTGAACAATGATCCAGATCTAACACTTGACAGAAGATAAAACAAAACCAACTTAAGTGTGAACCTCTGTGTAGGAGAGGCTCTCATCATGTTTTGGACAGAGTCTGTCTGAAAGCGATTAACAAGTGTTTCCTATTACGCTAATGACTAGTGGAAATGCCAAAAAGCAGCTCCTGAAAGCCCACAGGCCTGCATAAATTACACCCAAGAACTGAGGGAGTTGAGACCCATTCGCATTCAAAAAACAGTATTCAAAACCATGAGGACAGGGAATTGCATCAGAAGAAAAGTCTAGAAACAAAGACTTCAAATCAAGCTCTTTAGGTAGAAAATATCATATTAGAAAGAAAACAATTCTGAAACTGAGGCTCCTCAGATGGACATGAGCTCCCAGTAGGGAAAGCCCACGGGTTCCCATAAGTTCCCCCATGAGAGCCCACATATAGCACCAGACAGCTACAGACAGTCCTGGAACCCACTTCCAAGTCTGTGTTTAACTTTGGAGAGGCTCTGGAAGAAGTTGCAGTAACTGCTGGACAGCAAAGGGATTCAACTCTGTGCACTGAAGAGCAGATTGGCAGGGAGGGATGGACAGAGTGTGGAAAACCTGTACAAACAGGGACAATTTCCAGCAGCAGAGTGCTCTTGAATCTCACAGAATAAAAACCTTCCCAGAGAGCCACAGCTGAAGGAGTTCCAACAAAAAAAAAAGGACATGGATTTCTGACTGAACATTAGCATGGATGCTTGTAAGAGCTGCCTCCAAAGGGAGAGGATCTTCATCTACTGAAGCCTTGGAGAGGCATGGAAGACATTTGAACTCACCCAGCCTTTGCAGCTGGTGCTGACGTCTTCAGGTCGTTTCTTTATTACATGCTTTTTTAACAGTTTGGTTTCCCAGATGAGGGTGACGCTTTTCATTTCCTCAGTGACTGCTCTCCTTGCTAGAAGCATTTACAGCACATGTAAAGCCATGTCTTGGTGCCAAAAGCTCATAGGGGGGACATTCAGATACTCACACTTGAGCAGGTTTCAAAATCCATTGCTAACAGCTCGGGACTGGTGTTGCAGTGCTTAATATGTCCCTCTTCCAGTGAGCAAGGGACTTTGTCCTCTCCTTCACCGTGATCCCAACAAGCAGACAGCAGCCCTGAATTCAGCAAAAGAGGTACAAGGGCTCTGTCCTGAGGTGGGAGAGAATCCAAGGAGCCAAAGCAACTGAGAAAAAGAGGAATAATTAAAATATTACTCTGCTGCTTTCATTTCTTTTGAACAAGGAAATGAGGTATAGTGGTTATGAGGTAACGGGATCTATTCTGAGAAACAGAAGCAGGTTGTTTCGTATGATACAATAGCTTAGTTATGGGAGAAAATGTAATGAGGTGCTGTGGTCACTTAGAGGTTGTGAGGAAGACCAAGAAGAACGTGCAGATGCTGATTTCCCGTCTCCTCCCCAGTGACAGCTGAGAATTGCATTCACAAGCTCTTCAGCAGGGTCTGTGCCCTGCTCCAGGTTCTCAGCACAGTGTCAGCCTTTGCCCTGAAAAACACCAGCTGGCTCTGCTGGCCAATGTGGCCTAGTTGGTATTTGACAATTTCGTTTTCTTGGGAGCAGCCTCAGCCCATAAAAAAAACAAACAAAAAACCCCAAACCAGCCAACCAGCCACAACAAAAAACCAACAAAATTTCCTAAGATCTACATTGAGATCTTCACTGAATCCACCAGGATCACACCTCAGCTCCAGGTCACTCAGCAAATTCAGGTCCTCCAGCACTGGTTTCATGACCGAGAGCCCAGCAGCAGGTATGCCCATCTCATTACACAGCACAGATATCAGCTGACTTCCCAAAACCCCGAGGGACCTTCAGCTGACTTTCCTGGGATTTAACTTTGAGCCACAGGTGGTTTCATGAGCAGTCAACACAACCTTGATGTTCCAGCAGTAACTGTGTCAAATTATGACTAACAGAAGATTCATTACCTGCTTTAAGTTATTTTTCTGGGAGAAAAGAAATAGACAATGATTCTTGTTTGCTTCGAGTTTGTGGAGGGCCTGGCAGCTGGATGTAGGCTCTGACCACATCTAACAAAGGAAAAACAAGCCTCAGGGTGGCAAACACTTTCCATCTCCAGGTCCACAAAGTGCAGATACTAACTTCCTCTCTATTCCCTACCAAAAGTTGTACTGCTGATGTGGGAGTTACTGGGTGATTCCACTGGAAAGCAGCACAGGTGAGACCAGTTGCAGCTCCCAGGCCACATGTCCAATGTGAGACAGCAGCAAGGCAGCAGAAAGCTCCTTGGAAACTTCTTTCAAAATTACCATCCTTAAATTAGAGAAGGGATAAGTAAGAAAGATTCATTTCAGCACCCTTTCCTAAACTAAAGCATTTTCTCTAGACAAGCTCTGGGGACACAGATTATCTCTGAGCTCTCACAAACCACAGCGATGTCTCCCACAGCACCCAGTGCTGTTTGACACTTCGGGTTTCCAGATGAGCCACCCAGTGCCTGCTCACAGCAGTTTGTGGTCAGGGCTCTACACTTTAATTGTTCCAGATCAAGTGGAACATGTTTGTACCCAATTAAGCAAAGCATGCTAAGCTGTTCCATCTTGCTTCATCTCGTTCTGTAACTTGGCAAAAGCAGAAGCCACACAGAGACACCTTAGACTTGATTTCTCTACTTACAACACCAAACCACTGGTAAAGTTTCCATATTTAAAAAATATTGGTTTTCCTCTCTTGATACTTAATGTATATAACCTAAATGCCGCCTTCTGGCAACCACAGCTGGTAATTCACTTACACAAGGTGTATGTTCGTGATTATCCTTCCCCCTGAGGAAACCTCTGCATTCTGTAGGTATTTTTTGACCACGGGCTCCAGACCTGCCCAAGGTCTGAAGGACACCATCCTCACTCAGCACACACACACTGGCTTCTTAGTATTTTACATGAGCAGCTGTCCAATCTCAGTATGTAATATCACAAGATGGACCTGCCCCCCCCCCATTTAAGTATCCACATCACCAGAGGAATTCATTCAGATTTAAAGACTGTCTTCATTAGAAACTATTATTCCCCATATAAAGATTATAACCAATTTGAGAGACCTGATTCCACCAAAGAATCAGATTTTGAAAGCTAGATTGCATGACATTAATACAACCGAAAGTAAAAAATTACTCAAGAGCCCACATGAAAGGACAACATTAAGCAGTACGAACATGATATTGAGAGTCCTTTTTTAAAACAGTGGTTACAGATACTTAAAAGCAGGAAGTCAGCAGAAGGTGGAAGCTGTGGTTCAATCTCCAATCTCCTGCCAAAGCACACACTCTCGACTCTGCAAAAGCACAATCAGCTCTGTAGGTTCCTTCAGATGTGTTATTCCCATGGCACATTTCCTGTTCATTACAGGACAAGCTTTATCCCTGATACTCTTCCACAGAATGCGGCAACTCCTTAGATCTAAGTCATGCCCAGTGCTTAAAATGTACAGAGAGCACAGGGTATTAAAGGATTGGTTTAGAAGGCATTTGGTTTGACATCTGAATGTTAACTTGGAAATGTGAACATGTGCTTGGAATTTCAGCATTGTCAGACTGAAATAGTCAATGGCCTAAACATTATAAGATCACCAAAAGACTTTTGTCCACTCTAGCAAACTGAAAAGAAACAGCTGCACAACCAGCAAAGCCTCCCCCTCCCTGAATGTGCTACTGCTACTGGGAAAGGACCTTCAGATGAGACAAGTGGGTGCTATGGTCCAACTACCCCCTACCTGAAGCTACAAACTGGATTGCCAGAAAAAAGAAGAGGCAAATCCTGCAGAAGCAGGATAATCCTTCTTACCATGCCAGTGTCCTCCCTTACATGATGGCTCTGCTGTGAAGATGTCTCTGAGGAGCATCCAAGACTTATGACATGTCCCATGACATGATCCACTGAAAAACTCCCCACCCCAGAGGAAGTACAAGGCATTACCACCTGAGCTTGAAATCTTTGAGGTTTGGGGGGGGGGGGCTGTGTCTTCCCCCAGCCCCAATGGATCAAGACCACCAATTCAACCAACAGACACGGAAGCTGTAACTACCAAGTTTCATTCCTGCATCCAGTGGGTGGTGACTATATATATATATATATCTATATATATATATCTATCTTAGGACCCTTATCCTTTCTTTCCCTTTCTCTCCCTTACACATTTTCTTAAGTATTATTTTTATGCCTTAATATTGCTATGCTTTAATATTGCTGCATCACTATAAATGTTGGCACCCAAAATGGCAACACACTTGTTTACCTTTGAAACAAAATTGTTCTAAAATAAACCCTACGTGTGTATATACATATATATATATATATATGTTTACAAACACCAACTATTCAGTGTTGTTTCACTCTAATCCACCCCAAAGGATTTATTAACAAGAACCTGGGTTACCCTCCTCTTCTGGGCGGGTCATAACAAACGTGCAGCCTCATTCTACATTTATCAGCCTAGTATATACCTGCCAGTCTTTGGTTCATAGCAGAGAGTAAAGATGGGCTGTTTTAAGAATTCAGACATGTCCAGTTTCAGATGATTCTTACTGAAGAGAAGAGCCCAGTGGTTGCCTGGGCAATGAAGGTACACAGTTTCCTACAAGTGACATATCAAGAGAAAGGAGTAAATAAAAGAAGCCACACCTTCCCCCCCAAAAAACAGCCACTCTCCCCATCTAACCCCCCCTCCCCAGCAAAATCCACACTAAATTGCTTTTTAAATAACAGTGCTATGATGAAGCAGAGAGTTTTGAGACACTCAAGTGAAAAAATCAGTGCTGAAGAGCCTGTGAATTCAGCATTTGGCTGCACACAGTGCTGCTGTGCTTGACAGAAATAAGTTAGGAGGGAAGGACCAGTAAGAGGCAAACCAAGCTGAAAACTCTGGTTTGAAATAATAAATGACTCCCTAACCTTTTCCTTTCAGGGCCTTTTATATCTTTCACAAACCTTAGCTCTGAGTATCAAGAGGTCATTTAATGCAGTTGTTCTCACAGAAAGCCACCACGCCCAGGGATCCCCCTGGGCAAGGTGTGAACTGACCTGCTGGAAACTTATCCAGCAGTTTCAGAGGGCCACAATTCCTGAACTTTCAGACAAAGCAAAGCTTGGCCTTCAGAATTCACCTCCCCCCTTTCTTTCTTTAGACAGACAAACACATCTAGGCTGAGTTTATGAACTTCTTACTAGGGCCGAAGGACTCCAGTCCTAGTCCTAGACTGAAAATTAAAGAACAGTCCTTCTCAGACAATTTAAGCCACAAGTTTCATTTTCAAAGGAAAAATGCCAGTAAATGAAAGACAAAGTGTTCAGATTTATTTGGAAATTCACAGTTTCTAATGGCACTACAGCTCTGTAGTTACATACTCTTGTTCCACAACATTGGATGCTGCACTCTGGTGGTATGTATTTTCCTAATCCAGGTTTGACACCCTTCTGAATTCAGGTTCAACACGTCTGGTTCATGTGCTCTGACTGGCTAATTGTGCAGATCAACTCTGAAAGTACATCACTTTAAAGTATTCAAAAACTAACAAGAAAGCAGCAAAAAAAACCAAAGTCTTTAAATAAGTCACATTACATACAATACCCAGGAAAGGCATTAGATCTGTTAAAAAGGGTACCACTAAAAGTGCTCAATAAGTTAACTTATTTTGTACAACGTGAACCTGTAACACCTGTCAAAAGGAATAACCTTTTGTTCCACTCATTCAGAATCACACATTTTAGCAACCACACATCCTATAGTATCCAAATATACAATCACAGTCAAAATAAAAAACACTTGAATATGAAATACCAACCATACCAACACTGCACATTTGTTAGCCAATACAAAAGCAAACGTTGTGGAAATACCCCCAGTGAACCAGCCCGACTGCTCAGACTCCAAGGCTTTGCAAACTCAGCGCAGCCAGACCGGCTCGGAGAATGGCCCGGCTGTACCAGGCTCACCCTCCCGTTCTTCAGCTGAGCTTTCACTGAACTCAGCACAACAACAGTGAGCATTCTTCATCCACTTCCTTCAGAGAACTGCAGCAGGCCATTGAGATGACAAATGCATTCATCAGCCTCAGGTTCCACTGCACACGGGAAATCCTGGAGAGCCACCGTCACTGATTTTGCACAGACTACAGCTCACATTTGTGACTCAAGGTGCAAACAGACAGAGTTACCAACCCTGGTGACGTATTCTCCTCAGAGTTTGCAAAACCAGAATCTAGTCAGGCAAGTCCATCTATTGGTATTTTTACAGTATCCAGTCCACATTACCGAGTCCAGCTGAAGGCCAACACATGTCCCTTTACAGCACTGTAGTGTTGCATCTTCAAAAAAAGCTAGAGAAATTACAAAATAAATCAAATGACAAACAATTGTATCTCCCCTCTTCCAGTGGCATTATAAATAGACAAAAGGCACATAAATATGGGAAGGTGCAAGAAATAGGAACAAAGCTAAAGGAAGAGGATTAGGCTTTTATCCCTATTCCACCCAACAAACTGGGTTTCAAAAAATCTCTGTCCCAGGAACTGTGAAAAAAAACCTTTATAAAATGAACCCTGCCCTCCCTCCCCCCAAGCTGTTCTCATAGGAAATTATCAGCCTTGTAAAGCTGCAGCTTATAGCCAAGATTGACACAATCCCATCTATTTTAAAAAGGCAGAAACCAAATTTCTGAATACTTTCCAATTGGTTGAGCTCTTTGTCTCCCACTATCCTCCCACAGAATACCACAGACTGTTCTCAAACGAACAAACACTCTCCTGTTTGAGAAGTTCAGCTAGTTTTAGATGTGTCCAGACACTGTCGTGACACCAAGTGTTCCCACTGTTATATCTTTGTTTCCTTTGATTATGTCATGCAGGCTTGGCATTGACCCCGACTTAGTCTGTATCAGAGTTTTTATGAGCTTCCCTTGGTCTGAAACTTTAGACCGTCTTCGCTTTATAGCCCTCTTCTCAGTTTTTGTCTTTTGGGTCTGCCCATTGCACAGACTCGTACACGCTGAAATGCCACAAAAATAAGACTCCTCGGACTGTGATGACGTTTCGGAGCTTCCTTCGGATGGGGGGCCCTTATATGAAGAGTGATAAACTTCCCCAATGTTAGAGAAGTCCCTCTGGTTTGTGAAGGGCTTCCTTCCTTTGATTTCCCCATTGGCTATGGGATGCACAGGCTCTGTTGTCGGCTTAACAGTCTCTGGCTTTTCACTTTTGTATTTGCAACGCTTTTTCTGAAATCACAAGTGAAAAAAAGAAACAGTGAGGTTCTGGAAGGGAAGCAGAGCAGCAAAGACACGCCTTCAATCACCTGCCAGCACAAGCACCTCAGCCCCACCAGCCCTCCCACCTCACTCCACAGTACCTTCTTCTCTGGGGAAAACTTCAGAGGTTCTACAATGTACAGATCCTCTGGATCCACTGTAAGAGAGGAAACACACATTTAGCAATCCTAACACTGCCAGCTCTAGAGCAACACAACAAAATATTCCACTTATCAGGCACATTTTTTTCTCCCTTTTTAAGTTAAGGGGGCACAACACAAACACTGGAAGTGAAGGAGCACACAGAGGAATTCCACTGTGCTGTCATGGCAGCTGTCAGTGGCACAAACTTGAAAACAGGTGGCTTTCTGATAAATTAGGCCACGGGAGAGGAGCAGAGAACATCCTTTGGGGAAAAGGAGCAGGAGTCAGCAAAAGTTGAAGTCTAAGAAAACAAACCAGCATAACAGTGTTTAACAAGCAACCTGACCCTGACAGGACAGAAGTACGTGCACCTATCAAGGACACAGACATTCAGACAGACATGAGACCAGTCTGGCATTCTTCCACCAGGGCTTTGGTGGAAGCAAAAGCATTCTTCCAAGATGAGGCAGGGGAGAATTCAGGAAAAGTGTGTTTTTTCAAAAAAGAAAATAAAATAGCATAGGCCTTAGCTAGTCTTTATTACAACACATTTCCAACTCAACTTACGAGTTTTCATGCACTTGCATTCACAGTACAAAAACTTGTGAGGCAAGTTTGCTGCACCCAAAGAACAGTGTCAGCTGCATATTCAGTAATTACTATAATCTGCAACACTTTGTTTTGCATGACAGTGATGGCCTAAGAAATCAAAATTCAGTTGTCCCAAGTGAATACTGAAAAGATCAGATCGTTCCTCATACCCAAGCCAAGATAAATGGTCTAAATTTCTTACCACAGTTGCTAAATTTGAATCCTAAATACCTGCCAAGTTTCAAACACAGACTATCAAGACTTCTGAAAAGTAGGGCACTCAGACTTCCCACGTCTGACACTTACAAGAAAAAAAAAAACTACTCTGCAAGCTTGACAGCTTTGCAGATCTGAGTGCCTGCACGGATTGCTACTAACCCCAAGAAAACATGTGCAGAGCAGAGCATAACTGGTATCAAAAACTGCATTTAAGGTTTTAGCATAATCCAGCACACTTCTATGAATATCTGGTAATTTGTTCACAAACCACCTTGTCCTATAGAACACATATATGAACTATATGCACATTGTGTAGCACTAAGAGTAACACTAGAAACTAGATGTACAATATGAATAATACCTTCTTTACCAGCTAGCTGAAAAGACTGTGATCTGACCAGTGGAAGAGAAGTTCTTCTTTTCAGATTCATATCATCATAGGAGGAAAAACACCTAGAAAATTCCAGAAAGCTTTTTTAACACATTTTTCTCAGTACTTTGTCATACACATTTTTCATTAAAAAGCATTTTTGGTAGAAAGACAGAACTGAGGCGCCCAAGACAGCCTGGCAATCAGACAGAGCACTGTGTCTGCAACACGTTATCAAGTGTAGTAGGCCCAAAATGCTTCTAGGAGAGTGTTACTACAAAGCAGTAATGGCTCTTTGCCATCAATTTTGAGTGTGCAGAAAGACAACTCAGAATTAAAGCAGATATTTCAGTACCAGCAGACTGTGGAAATACCAAAAAAAGCTGCAATAACAATTAAGTTTCAAATATAAATACGTTACCTTTTGGGGCTAGGGTAGTGATTGCTTTTGGGAATTTTTGAGAGGTAATCGTCACAGAACTGAGAAGGGCTCCTGCACCGCTGCACAAAAAGCACCAAGCCCAGGATGAGACAAAGAACCAGTGAAATCACCAGGTAAGTCTGTCGATCAGAAACCTGCAGGAATTGGATACAATTATTAAAGACAGAATAATTTCCTGATACTATTATTTTCGTGTTTTAAACTTTAAAAGACAAATGACGTGTTCTCAAGTCACTGTCCTTCAGTTTCACTTAACACTAGTTCAAATTTGAGTAATTTTTCAGAGGTTTGATGCAGTCTATGGGCTGTGCAGCACTGAAGGAGTGAAGGCCGAATCCCACTAAGTGCTAACACAGGACAGTATTTTACTGCCTGCAGTACCAGCATTACTAGAGAAGCTGCCACCCCTTGTAAAGAGCATTCAAATCTACCTGAAGCAATAAAAAAAGCATGCTTAGAAGGCAACTTCTCTGGTTTACAATTGGCATGGATGTAATGCTATAGCAAATCTAAGTGATGCTTTTCATCAGCTGACACTGAAGTACTTCACAGAACACCATTATAATCACTTGATTCAATGTGGTTTCACCAACCACAGCACTCGTGAACAGGAGCTTAGCCAGCCAGGTATCAAAGAAGGA